CGTTTTTTGATTTCCTGGCTACTGGTGCAAAGAGTGTTGACCGTGGAGCCGAGCAAACTGAAGCTGTGAACAATCTCAATCTACGTATATGTATGAAGTAATCAGGGAATTATATACATGCATGTACATATGCACATGTATATATATATTAAATAATTCATTATAAAATATAGTAAGATGAGCTTTCTCTTTTGTACTATGCTTCCTTGGAAGACATTTACTGATATATAACTTGCATAAACCCATGAGGCTGGAAAATCAAGCAGAATTCAGTAAGTAAATGGCAAAGATGTCAAAGTAAAGCTTTGAGCTACCTCACCAGGACCTTAGAGACAAAACTAGAGTTCTGTGTTGCCCAGGCAACTGCAACTTCAAAGTTTATGATCATAACTTAATCACTTACTGCCAAAGACTCAATTCTGACTCCTAGCAACCCTGAAGGACAGAGTAGACCATTTCATGGCGTTTCCAAAATGGTAGTTTTTTCAGAAGCAGATTACTACATCTTTCTCCTATAAAGTAGTTTGTGGGTTCAAAACACTGACCTTTCAGTAAGCAGTTGAGTATGTAACCATTGCATCAATAATGTCTTTAATATATTCATAAGGAAAAGGGAGGGGGGAGTTGAGTTTATCTTTCAAGGCCTCAATGGCTAGAAGGCTAAGAAACAGATAGATGAAGCTGTTAGGCTGAGAACTAGGTAACACTGCAGCCATACCGATGATTCCAGCGAGGAAAAATCTAGAGTTTCAGGCCCATGAAGAGGATGGGATCATGGCTGAAAACATGACAATCAGCCTTTCAAGACAATCAAAGAATAAAGACAACCTAGAATTAATGCCAAATCAGAAATATACCAATATCTTTAAAGATTAAAACCCAGCTCCGAATGATTTCAAATTCAGATAGATTAAATTTTATCTCTTCCTACTCTATAATTGACAGAGCAAATGCATATCCTTTAAAAAAAGACATTATCATGGGTAATTTTTACATTTCTGCATAAAAGTATTTTGCATTTAATTTAAAAAAATCACCAGGAAATAAGAGCAAGGAGAGGGAAGAAGATGGAAGATAGTAGGAACAGATACTGACTTTATAAGAAAAAGATTTTTAAAAAACTGATTAATATAGTAAAGAATAAGGGGCAACGAAATGTGAATAAAAAAATAATTGAAGGGAAACTCTAGAACTAAAACCAACAACAACAATAACAAAAAAAACCCCATTAAAAATAGCTGGAGCTCTGGTGGCCTAGTGGCAAGAAGCTGCACTGCAAAAACAAAGGTGTGTGGTTCGAATCCACCAGGTGCTCCACTGGAGAAAGAGGAGCAATCTCCTCCTGTGCCAGTTGGATCTGATT